AATTAGCTTTCTGTCCCTGTGATCTCCTAAATTAATTTCTTTTCACAGCGGAACCGACTTATTTCCAGTTCAGTTGCCATGAACTTGAGGATCTACCCTGTTTCCCTGAAAATAGGTCCTCCCCGGATAATAAGCCCAATCGGGCTTTTGAGCGCATGCGCTAAAATAAGCCCTCCCTGAAAATATTGCAACACAGCAGCAGCCATGAGGTGACTACGCTCACTGCCTCCTGCACCTTAAAAATAATATGACCTCCCTGAAAATAAGACCTCCCCGGATAATAAGCCCAATCGGGCTTTTGAGCGCATGCGCTAAAATAAGCCCTCCCTGAAAATACTGCAACACAGCAGCAGCCATTAGGTGACAATGCTCACCGCCTCCTGCACATCAAAATTAATAAGACCTCCCCGGATAATAAGCCCAATCGGGCTTTTGAGCGCATGCGCTAAAATAAGCCCTCCCTGAAAATATTGCAACACAGCAGCAGCCATGAGGTGACTACGCTCACTGCCTCCTGCACCTCAAAAATAATAAGCCATCCCCGAAAATAAGACAGGGCCTTATTTTCTTTTGACCCCCGAAATAAGCACTTGGCCTTATTTTCAGGGAGGTCATATTATTTTTAAGGTGCAGGAGGCAGTGAGCGTAGTCACCTCATGGCTGCTGCTGTGTTGCAATATTTTCAGGGAGGGCTTATTTTAGCGCATGCGCTCAAAAGCCCGATTGAGCTTATTATCCGGGGAGGTCTTATTTTCAGGGGAACAGGGTACTTTCACCACAATGGCAGAGGATATGGCAGCTCAGGGCTTCTGGGATTTCTTTCTATTTGAGTAGGTAACGATAAACCATGGTTGGCTTTCCTCTCTTAGTGATGGCAGACAGAAAAGTACTCTTCTAATGGAAGTTATAACCGGAAGAACCACTTTATAGGTAGTCCTCAACATATGACTTAGTGACCATTTGAAGTTATGAAGGAATCCCCCCCCCCAAAAAAAATAATAATAATAGGTATTTACAATCTAGATTCAAAGTTCTGACTGCCAAGTGCCCCCCCCTCCCCTGATCACATGATTGATTGGTTGTATTCTGTGGTCAACATGACTGCAATCTTTTTTCCTTTTTTTGCTGGGAATCAGCATTTACTTAAAGTTTCTTGAAAAAACTGCCCATTGGGGACAGTGGATTCATTTTAACAACTGTGGCATTTATTTAACAACTGGGATTTGCTTAAATGGCAACAGAAAAGTTTTAAAAGTGAATCAGCCACACAAGGACCCTTTTAACAGCCAGCACAACCTAACGACTGGGCTCAATTACGGTCGTAAGTCAAGGATTACTTGTAATTAATTGGAACAGTTAGTCCTATCGGTTGATGAAAGCCAAGGTGGTCTCCAACTTTAGCAACTTTAAGACTGGCGGACTTCAACTCCCAGGATTCCCCAGCTAGCAAAAGCCAAGGTTGGAGACCCCTGCTTTAGACAATAAAGAGCTTTGGTGTTTTTTCTTTCGAGACCCTGAGTTTTAACCCTATGATCTCATTTTTTGCCCTGGTTCACTTTATATGCAAGGTTGACTCTTGACACCCTTCCTTTGTCTCCTAGGAGTGTTTCTGGCCCTGGGCCTTAGCGGCGTGATCCCCACCCTGCACTTTGTCATCTCGGAAGGGCTTCTCAAGGCTGCCACCATGGGTCAGATAGGGTGGCTGGCCCTCATGGCCTGTTTGTACATCACTGGCGCTGGCTTGTACGCTGCTCGTATCCCAGAGAGATTTTTCCCGGGCAAATGTGACATCTGGGTAAGTTATAGCTATGGACTGTCAGGCATCTGCTGCTACATTGGAAGCTACATCACAGTTCCATCAGGGCTTCTGTTTAGTTCTGTTGTGAAACAGGAGGTGGATTAGGCAGTTAAAAGCCACAGCAACTAGCAAATTCATTGGCTTTCCAGAAATGGGAGGAAAAAAACCTACTTGAACTATCTCAGTGTTTACTGTCAGAGACAGAGTGGCTATAGAAATGCAGCTTTTGGAAAGAGCCATTCACAGCAAATTTGTCTTTCTCATTTTAAACCTCGAACAGGTGCAGTTGCCACTTGAGGCTTTACTGGGCTCGAGGACATGGAACAAGAGAATTTCCTAGCAGATAAATTGGTTTGTCCCAGGGGTGATATGCTATCGGTTCGCCCGAACCGGTAGTAAAAAAAAATGTTTTAAAAAGTAAAAAAAAAAGTTTGTCAGAACTTTTTAAAAACTTTTTTAAAGCATTTTTTTTACTATCTATTGGCCTGAACTGGTAGTAAACAAAAAGGTTAAAAAAAAAGTTTTTAAAAAGTTCCAACCATCAGCTGTGCCACAATCAGCTGTGCCTGATTGTCTGTGAGGTTCCTGCTTGTTGCAGTGGCCATTTTGTGGGACGTCCAGCAGCTTTGACATTGTGTGTGAGTCAGTTGTGCAGCCACGCCCACCCAGTCACATGACCACCAAGCCACGCCCACAGAACCGGCAGGAAAAAGTTTTGAATTTCACCACTGGTTTGTCCCTTAGCAGGCTAATCCTGTTTGTAGGAAATTTGTAAGACTGCTGTTATCATTTGGTGCTTGTTCTGAAAAATATATATACACTTCATTTTCTAATAGTACTCTTTTTTTAAAAAAAAGTTTTTTATTTTTTCATTTTCATAACCTATAATCACATGTATACTATTACATAGCCACCATCATATTGTATTATTAAATGTTTACATCAGTTCCTCTTACCATCAACTCCCAAAAACAATTATTGGCTCTTCTGCTTTCCATATATTTGTACCTTATCCATCACTTTCTTCTCCCTCTCTCCTCCCTTTCCCTCCCTCCTTTCTTCCCTCTGTCATCCTTCTCTACTTCCCCTTCCTCTCTCTCCTCTCTCCCCTTTCCACCCCTCATTTCTCTCCTCCTCTTCCCCCCCTTGCCCTTTCTACTATCCCTCTCTTCTTCCCTTACCTCTCTCCTCTTATTTCCCACTCTTCATCTCATTTACTTGGTGAATTTCAGCTTCTGAGCAAGCTCCATTTTATGTTGATGGTATTTATAATTCCTTTTCAATATACATATTTAATTTTAATATGTATTCTCCTTTTTTTAAAAAAAAATGGAACAAAAAAGTATACATATATAGTCATTGTGCTTTTAATCCCCCCCCCCATATCTTGGATTAGATTACCCTTAATTGTCTATACATGGCAATCCTCGCTGTTCAATCTTTAATAGTACTCTTTTTTTCTTTCTCTCTCTGTTTTCCCCCCTTTCCTGTAGTTCCACTCCCATCAGCTCTTTCATATTTTCGTGGTGGCTGGTGCTTTTGTGCACTTCCATGGCGTTTCAAATCTTCAAGAGTTCCGTTTCACCGTCGGGGGAGGTTGCTCAGAGAACGAGATGGAGTAAAAATCCGTCGGCCCCTGTTGAGGATCATAACCAAAACTGAACCATGGGAGCAGTCCATCCACACTTTGCCTACAATAGTGTGGAAGCTTTGCAGGGAATCTTAAGTATAAGATGGGAGAAATATTCATACCTCAAACAATGGAGTGAATTGGTTCGGAAGAAGTGGACATTCTTAAATCTTAATTTATTCCTGGGATCTGCAACTGAAGCAAGAAAAAACAAAACCTTTTCTTAATCAGCTTACGTTCAATGCCATATTTATTTGTAGAAAATAAGAGAGGTTATCTTGGGGAAGAGCTTGGCAATTTTTTCTTTTTTCTTTTTTTTTTTTTTTAAATCTAGCTTAATTAAGATTTGTATCTTGTTCAGGTAAATTGATTTTTAGATGCCCTTTTGGGAGAAAAAAAATGTAAATAAGATTTCTAACTTTCTGTTTGATTAAAAAGTTTCTATAAATGTTTTAAAAATGGGGGGGGAGGGAGGGAGATGGATTTTTGTATTGGTTGCAACATGCAAGTACCACACACTGTTTCTATTTTGCACAAATTCTTAAACGTGCAAGAAAGCTAGGTGAAACTCCTGAAATCAGGCATCTGGATCCTGTAGATTCTTCCTAATTCTGGTGTGTACTGATTGGCTCGATCCAGGGGACCCAGCCCGCTGCCTACAAGGCCCGAGAGCAAAGAAGAGTTGATTGATTGGCCTTTTCCAGAGGTGAAAGGGCGCCAAGGCCACGCCTTCTAAGCTCTCCTCTGGGGTGGTTTTTATAAAGATGCCTTCATTGGCCTTTTGCTACATTGGGGTTTGACGGCTTAAGGCACAATGTGGCATATATATCCTGACCTTTTTTTGGGGGGGTGGGGGTGTCTCTCATCAGTGTTTCACCATTCTTTTGGGTGTGCTGTTTTGTTTATCCAAGTGCAATTGTTGGGTACCAACCTTCTAGGTGATCTGGCCTGGGGTAGAAGTGGTCTCATGGGGGTGGGGAGAATAGGAAGAACACACAAGAAAGAATTTTTTTTTGTTTTTAAATCTAAGAAGAAGACTGGCTGTCTATGTGTTAATCCGTTATGGTTTGTGTGTGTGTGTGTGTGTGTGTGTGTTGCTGAGTGACAGTAACACCACAGTTGTCTGTATTACATCCACTGAACTCTTGCGGGCTGCAATAGTGACACTGCCATTCTCCCCCCCCCCTCTTTCTTTTCTCCTGGGGCTTAAGACAATAATACTGTGCACTATTTTTAATCAGTGAAAAGCAAACGGACCCCCCACAGGATAGACGTTTCCCTCTGCTTGTTAAAGTGCTTTGTGGCGAGAGAAAGTGGCCAGCGCTTTCAAAGGTTTCCCATTGAATGGACTGAGGCCAGGAGTGTTTGAAGAGGAGGGAGTTATGACACAACAGAAGCAGTCAACAGGAGGAGGGAGAAGAAGTATGCTTATTGCTGATTAAAAATAGTGAAGCTAGAACACGGGTCCCTAAACTTAACAATTTTAAGACTTGTGGACTTCAACTCCCAGAATCCTTCACCCAGCTGAGCTGGTTGGGCAGTTCAGGGAGTTGAAGGCCACCAGACTTAA